TAATTACTGGAGTTATTACCCTTGGTTTCATTAATGCGATGCATGCGTTCCATGATGTTGTATTGCACTCATTGATCTACCAGTTATGTTGAATGATTTCTCTTTTAATATCAATTACTCACAAATACTTCATATATTTCAATCATACAAACAACTGCTCATTCAATGTGTGACGGGCGTATTATATACCGCTCGCGGTAACCTTGTTTCTTTTTTTTTTTTTAAGTTATTGCCCTTTGTTCATTTCAGTATTTAAATTTTTGTACGGCAGTCTCTTCCTACATTTTTCAACGGATCTCTTTGAAACTTAGTAGGCTAAATAATCATGATATGTTGTTGTGTTTCCTTGAAAAGAATTTTGATTCAATGATTTTTGCAAAAGTCATTGCATGATCATATCATGAAAGTGGATTTTAGAAAATCTACAAAGTTACAAACCACAGAAAACAATCTACAGAAATAATGGAAATATGATATGTTAGCATTGCTGTTGCAGGGATAATTCTTGATGGGGTCTTTAAATTTGGTCGCTTAGAACTACAATTTGACCCACCTTTTTTCTTTTTTCTTTTTTCTTTTTTCTTTTAATATCACGCTAAAATTTTGATAGCTAAAAGTTGCTGACAGTGGCCAAATACAGTTTCCAGGAATTTCCATGTGTTGTGCAAATTTACCATGTGTCAAATTGCAATGTTATTACTGCATAAATTGTCAATATCTACAGAGATCAGCTGAAAAATTGTATATATTCAGAAATTGCTTAATTCCCTTAAATTACTTGCTCAATAAGAAGTTTTGTGAAAACATTACAGCAGTCCAAGCCAGGGATGTTACAGACCCAGTCACAGCAACCTGTGGCAAGCCAGCAGCCACCACCCCCTATGTCTGTTGCCAGGGGTAGAGGTGCTTTGGGACTCCTGGCTTCAGCTGCAGGCAGGGGAGTCCTGCCCCCAAAGGCACAACCAGCTGGTATGTATATTGTGTCTTGTATTTCTAGTATCCTGTGTAATACTTCAGATATATGTTGCTGTGTTTACTCTGATGTTTGATTTTGAAACAAGTTATATTAAAACATTTGTAGGATGCAATAGGTTTTCTCTTAGTGTATCGCTTTCTACTATATATAGGTATATTTTAAAACTAGCTCTTACAAAGACCAACTTTTGTATGCAAGGATGTCCTTGGATTGACGAAGGTCGCTTACTAAAATTAGCGATCATTCACCACTACATACAGAGTCAAGGCCCATTGTACTATATATACTCAATTTAGGATCTTGTGACTCACTATGTATATGTGGCTCTTTTTCGATAACAAAATTTGTCTTAAGGTTGGGGATTTTGAATTGTTTGCAATACTTAGCCTTGTTTTAGCTAGCTTTAGCTCGAGTGTTGGAGTTTGCTGTCTGTCTATGTCTACCATGTGTCATCAGTAAACTTTTCTAGTTCTAGGTGGATGAAACTTGCTAGGAATGAGCAAGGTCCTGACTAAATATTCTTATTTCATCTGAAAGTGTTGTTAAAGATGGATGCCATCTTAAAAAAAGCTATAGCTTTTTTTATAAATACTGTTCGATTGAAAGTGAAGAAACTTTTTAAGAATGCTCAGGAGATGATTCTGAGCAAGTATTGCTTTTTTTAGGTTCCTAACTCCTGAGTGACAAGTTTTGGTGGATAGGTTCTCATTATGGTGCTGAAGATGTGCAGAAAATCTGCTGAAATGTTAATGTTAAACTGTCGACATCTGTTTGCTGTAGAGGCCTCTAGAAAGGGTCTCGGACTGCTAAACACATTTGAACTTGTACATTTTTGTGTGTATTGTTTCCAGAGTAGACAGGGTTAACAAACTACATTTTAACGAAGAAATGATGTGATAAAATTCAAAGTCAAACTCGGACTAGAATGCTCTGATTTAGACTTAGAACACAATGTAGATGTTACATGAATATATGACATTTACATTTATGACCTTCTACAATGCAAGGTAGAGTCTACTGCAATTTATTTGTTTCAGTTTTGTGATACAAAGAAGGCATTGCCATGTACAATGATCTATTTCATTTTACTTACAACATTAGGGCCAACAACAGGAGGAGCCTCAACATTAGAAACCCAGCCTAGAGGAGTAGAGGCATTGTTCAGACTAACGTAAGTTTTTTGAAAATTAAATATCCTATATATTTTAAATCCAAAAATGGATCAATATGTTCATGTTTAAAGGATATGTTCAATGCTTTCATGTTTGTCATTTCAAATCCTTTCATGTTTGTGAAAAATTTGTTGGAAAGAATATAAAAAGACCAGTTTGGATTTTGGTCTCATATAGTTCATATTTTGGCAACATCAACTTGAAGGGCAGTTGAGCTTATGTTTATGGTGCGCCGTCCGTTGTCCGTCTGTCCAGCGTCAACTTTTTACTTGAAACAACTTCTTCTCAATAACCGAAAGGCCCAGGGTACAGATATTAGGCCTGTAGCATGCTGGGATGAATTGCTATGAAGGTTGGTCAAATGAATGACCTTGACCCACTTTCAAGGTCACTGGTGTCAGATGTCTTAAAATCTTCAAACAACTTCTTCTCAATAACCAAAAGGCCCAGGGTACTTATATTGGGCCTGTAGCATGCTGGGATGAAGGGGTACCAAGTTTGTTTTAATGAATGACCTTGACCCACTTTTTTTCAAGGTCACTGGTGTCAGATGTCTTTAAATCTTCAAACAACTTATTCTCAATAACTAAAAGGCCCAGGGTACTTATATTGGGCCTGTAGTATGCTGGGATGAAGGGGTACCAAGTTTGTTCAAATGTTTGACCTTGACCCACTTTCAAGGTCACTGGGGTCAGATGTCTTAAAATCTTCAAACGCCTTCTTCTCAATAACCAAAAGGCCCAGGGTACTGAAATTAGGCCTGTAGCATGCTGGGATGAAGGACTACCAAGTTTAATCAAATTAATGACCTTGATCCACTTTCAACCTGATGTCCTTGTTCGACATTCAAGGTCACAGGCATCATATGTTTAAATCTTTTAATAGGTTCTTATGAATCAAACACTGATATTCTGCCTGTTGTTGTATTTTAGTCCACTTTTAAGATTACAAGTGTGAGATTAATACCAGGTGAGCGATGCAGGCCCATTGGGCCTCTTGTTTTTTGATGTGCCTGTAAACTTTTTGAAAATGTTTAAGCATTGGTAACCATGTACAATATAGGAAGACCAATGTTACATTTGAAGTTGAGCAAAATGTGTGCATAATCAATTCATATACATTGCTGTGATTGGTTAAATTCCACTTTCCATTTCATGATTTGTGCACAATAACTTGCTCAACTTTATCATAATTCTGATTAAACTTAGTCAATATTTATAGACAAAGGCTAACTTAAGGATCCCCGTTCCACTGCCAAAAACTGTAACTAAGTTTAGGGAACTTTTTTTCCAGCATGACTATAGGTTTGATGAATCTTTTCTGAAAAGAAAACCATACCTTGTGGGACTTTATGAGAAATAACAAAGCTTAAATAATCTTATTATCCACAACAGTATTCTGATCTGAAAAAAGTCAGCGGGGCTAGTTAAAGGAGTTCTGCTGTAAATATGAAAAACACAGGTTTTGGAACAGGGATCTTTAAATGTAAAACAAAACATGTGCATCGTTAATAAGCATACTTCAATCATTGTGAAATATTATATTTGAAGGTCTGGAAGGGGTGGCATGATGGCTGCTGCTGCCGCTGCTAATGGCGGACGACAACCTGGCCAGATCCAATCCTTACAACAGTCACCCCCACGACAGTCACCACGAGCCAGTACAAGCCAATCTCCCCCTACAATGGCACCATTGGTCCAACAAACAACAGTCAAGGCTCCTGCCCCTGTTCCAGGTATGGGCCAGGCCTCGCACACGTCTGGGGAGCCACCCACAAGCAGATTTGGCAATATGTCATTGGATCGTGATGAAGTTGTGCATAGACCTGGCTCGGTTGGAAAACAGTATGTATTATTGTCCAAATGCACTTTTACATCACAACCGTTTCAATGGGGAGGGGAGAGGGACATATTAAAATGATAGTGTTACCCATATCTCTTTCATCATATCCTGGTACAGTGTCATGGTTCTAGCCAACTTTTGTCTGCTGGGCTGTTTCGTGAGTTGTCCCTCATCCATCTGTAAACAATTTACTTATTGGATGTATCCTCTAAAACAATTAAACTTGTGTCAGTAAAATTTTCAAAAAAATCTTAATTATATGGATCTGAACCTCAGCGGTCTGAGGGGCAGGGCCAAAAGAGGTGAAAATGATTAAAATTTCCACAATCTTCTTCTGAAAATGCTAAGCTAGAATTTTTTTTATGCATGGATGGAAGTATCCTAAGATAACATTTTATCAAAAGTGTGAACTTCATTAACCCCATGTCACCAACTCCACCTGAGGGGTGGGTAAAATCTACTATAGTTCATACCGGGAAATAACCCTTTTGGGTATTTTTAGCCTTTTAGCCCACCATCATCTGGGGGGCTATTCAAATTACCCTGGGATCTCTTGTTTATTTGAGTGGTAAATCTGTAAAAGGCAGAGGGGAATGGAAGACCGTGAAAATCAAGTTACATAGCTGAAAGCTTTCTCCTTTAGTACTGGTCAATAAATTTCAACCAAATTTAGTCTTGAGAATATTAAAGCCTTTAGGGTTTAACATTCAGTGAACAGAGGATATGGTTCTTATTTGGGTAGAGGGGCAATGTCAATTTTATATAGGTAGATTTTTGAAATCCTACTTCAAGGCTTCTCATCGTTGTATAAATGGAGATTGTGGCCCCCGTTGACAGCAGAGCAGCAGGGTTCACTATGGATAATATATAGGTAAATCTCTAAAATCCTATTCTGTGAATAGTTTTAAAGGGTTTTAACACAATTGTCTGAATTATCTTGGAACATAGGGAATCAATGTAAAAACAGATAGTATGACCCCCTTAAAGGGGGGGGGGGGGAATCACAAGTTAAATAGGGGAAATGTTGGGTAAATATTTAAGATAAGAAGGACAGGGTCTTAAGGGGCAAAATGCATTGAATTACTTTCTTTGGCTGTCAAGGGGTGGGTAGCTATTGATAGTGGAATAACCCTTATCAGAGATTATCATTTTAGGTTTTGTGAGAGCAGCAATATAAAAGTTGCGAATCTTCAACCAAAAAAGGAAGGACCAGGATGAATAAGATGTTTTTTTACCAGAATTTTATAGCAAGATTGTTAGATAACGCTAGTTTCCAGATTAGGAAATATCTGTTCTAACGATGATATGTTTAAAAACTTGAAAAAAATGAGGCCTAAAAAGGATCTTATTCAGATGAGGTTAATTTACACCATAACTAACAGTCACTAAAAACGGTGCCCAGTCTAAGTTGTGACCTATTTTGTTTTTCAGATTGTCATTGTCTGCAAACTATATAAGACTTCGCTGTCTTAACCCTGGGGTGTACCAGTACCATGTAGACTTCAGTCCCCAAGTGGATTCCAAAAATATGAGGTTCAAGATGATGGGCGGGCTGAAAGATATCATTGGAAATACAAAGGCCTTTGATGGTAGCATTCTCTACCTGCCTATAAAACTGCCAAATCAGGTATGAAATTTTGTTGTTGTTTTTAGCTCACCTGGCCCGAAGGGCCAAGTGAGCTTATCCCATGGTGCAGCGTCCGGCGTCCGTCAACTTTTTCCTTTAAAATGCTACTTGTCCTGAATGGCTCAGAGGATTTTGACCAAATTTGGTCAGGAGCATCATTGGCCAAAGGGTTCTCAGTTTTGTATAAACGGAGGGTATAACCCCCCCGGGGGGAGAGGGGCGGGGCCAAATAGGGGGAAAATAGGTAAATCTTTAAAAATCTTCTTCTTCTCAACCAATAGAAGGATTTTGACCAAATTTGTCCTAGAGCATCTTTGGACAAAGGAGACTCAAGTTTGTATAAACGGAGGGTGTGGCCTCTTTGGGGGCAGAGGGGCGGGGCCAAATAGGGGAAGTAGAGGATTTTTTCTCTCCTACTATACAAGTGAAGGGATTTAAACCAAATGCAGTCTGAAGCTTGGTCAGGAGCATCATTGGCCAAAGGGTTCTCAGTTTTGTATAAACGGACGGTATAGCCCCCCCTCGGGGCAGAGGGGCGGGGCTAAATAAGGGGAAAAAAGGTAAATCTTTAAAAATGTTCTTCTTCTCAACCAATTGAAGGATTTTGACCAAATTTGTCCTAGAGCATCTTTGGACAAAGAAGACTCAAGTTTGTATAAACGGAGGGTGTGGCCCCTCTGGGGGCGGAGGGGCGGGGCCCAATAGGGGAAATAGAGGATTTTTTTTCTCCTGCTATACAAGTGAAGGGATTTTAACCAAATGCAGTCTGAAGCATGATTAGGGACAAAAGAATCAATTTTGTATAAACTGAGGTGTGTGGGCCTCCTTCTAAGGGCAGATGGGTGGGGCCCATTAGGGGAAATAGAGGAAAACATCAAATATCCTTCTCCTTTTGTACCGATGAAGGGATTTTGACCAAATTTGGTCTGGAGCATCATTGGCCAAAGGGTTCTCAGTTTTGTATGAACGGAGGGTATGGTCCCCCTGGGGGCAGAGGGACGGGGCCAAATAGGGGAAAATAGGTAAATCTTTAAAAATCTTCTCCTCAACCAATTGAAGGATTTTGACCAAATTTGTCCTAGAGCATCTTTGGACAAAGGAGACTCAAGTTTGTATAAACGGAGGGTGTGGGCCTTCTGGCGGCATAGGAGCGGGGCCCAATAGGGGAAATAGAGGATTTTTTTTCTCCTACTATACAAGTGAAGGGATTTAAACCAAATGCAGTCTGAAGCATGCTTAGGGAGAAAAGAATCAATTTTGTTTAAACTGAGGTGTGTGGATTCCCCTTCTTTGGGGCAGATTAGTGGGGCCCATTAGGGGAAATAGAGGAAAACATTAAAGATCCTTCTCCTTCTGTACCGTTGAAGGGATTTTAACCTAACCAAACTTGTTTTAGAGAATCTTTGGGCAAAGGGAATTGAATATTTATAAATGGAAGATGCAACTTTGTTACTTGTACTCCTTTGATAAACCTGAATAGTACTCAGCAGGTTTTAAATTGAAAAATAAAATACCAAGTGAGCTATTAAGGCCCCTGGGCCTCTTGTTTGGTGGATGGGGTGGGGTGTTAAGATCTTGAATCTTAAATTAAAAAATATTAATGATTGATTTGTGCATATGAAACTATTTAAAAGGTTACAGCGAAAGACAATTGCCAACATTCACTGATGATGAGATATTTTTCTTGTAGGAGACTGTGGCACACGCAGACAGGTTAACGGACAACGCCTCGATAACCATCACTATAAGGCTTACTAAGGTGGTGGCACCGGAGGCCTGTGTACCTCTCTACAACATCATTTTCAGGAAGTAAGGCTTTTGGGTCCATTTTGTCCATTTTCAGCAAGATATAATTCAAGCTTACTTAGAATAATTGTGATGAGATGACAATAATATTGTTGAGAAATCAAGATCTGTTCTTGCACCAGGGGCCTTGCAAGGGATAGGGTCCAAAAGGGGAAATTGTCTGAAATTTAAGAAAAACTCTGCATTGAGAGCTACAAGACTTGGCTGGAATAGTTATGATGAAATTGAAATTAAATAGTATCAGAAAGTAAGATCCTGATCTACCTCAGGGGTTGGCCAAAGAGGAAAATTTGCTAAATGGCAATAAATATTATTTTTTTCGATAGCAAATTAATGTATTTGAATAGTATTAATGTTCCTTTTTTTTGGGGACATGAGAAGTATTGTATTTCACTTGGTTTATATGCTGATTTCCACTTCACATTTCAACAATGAAAATTAAGCTATCTATAACATAACTGAGATGACCACTAAGGCCATTGGGCCTCTGGTTTTAACGTAACTTCTTGTTGAAAATCAAAATACCCAGAATCCTGATGTGTGTTGTCAGGTAAGTATTCAGGATGGAGTTCTGTAAAGTGTCCACATTTGCATGATCTTGTCCTGCTTTCAATATTTCTACTTCTCATCCCCAACATTGGCGTCGGTGCCCCACTTCACTGAGGTTTAAGTTTTTGGGAAAGTTTTTCCAGACAGTGTTGGATCATCACACTCAATACACTGTTGTCTGTTATAAAGATGAAGTATTTATATTCAGTGTAAGCAATGTGTTTAACCATATTTTCATATTTTAGAGGCCAAAAGCAGCTGAATTCGACTTGACCAATAAAGTTTTTTGACAAGTTTTTTTGTGCCGTGTTGGATCACCCCTATCAATAGACTGTCGTCTATAATAAGGTTGAGGCAATTATATGGAGTGTAAGCAATGTGCTGAAATATATTCTCATATTTTAGGGACCAAAAACAGTTACATTGGACTTGGGTAATTATTATGGTCAAGTTTTTATGTGCAGTGTTTGATCACCACTATCAATACGCTCGTCAATCTTTCACGTTGTCTGGTCATCTCTTCTTTTGAAAACGACAACATGTTAAGGTGCAGCAAAACCTTATTATATTGCCACCATTTGTTTAAAAAAATGCTGGTATTATAAAGGGGTTTGGCAATAAATTGAGGGAAACATATAAAGGAATTCTTTAGAAAAACAGAATTAAGGGACCTTGAAATATTTTGGCGGTTATTATAAGGAGGGGGCAAATAAAATGATAGCATTATATCAAAGTTTTACTTTAAATGTGTTTCTATTGCTATTTTTAGGTCACCTGAGCTTTAGCTCAAGTGACCTATTGCTATCCGTTTTCGTCCGTCGTCGTCCGTCGTCCGTCGTCCGTTAACATTTTACATTTCAAACTTAAAGTCAAGTTCTGCTGGGCCGATTGAACTGAAAGTTGGTAGGAATGATCGCCTCATGGTCCTGACAAAGTGTTGTTATTTTTCGGGTCGATCAGAAATCCAATATGGCCGCCACGGCCGCCATTTTGAAAACCTATTTCAAACTTAAAGTCAAGTTCTGCTGGACCGATTGAACTGAAAGTTGGTAGGAATGATCGCCTCATGGTCCTGACAAAGTGTTGTTATTTTTCGGGTCGATCAGAAATCCAATATGGCCGCCACGGCCGCCATTTTGAAAACCTATTTCAAACTTAAAGTCAAGTTCTGCTGGACCGATTGAACTGAAAGTTGGTAGGAATGATCGCCTCATGGTCCTGACAAAGTGTTGTTATTTTTCGGGTCGATCAGAAATCCAATATGGCCGCCACGGCCGCCATTTTGAAAACCTATTTCAAACTTAAAGTCAAGTTCTGCTGGACCGATTGAACTGAAAGTTGGTAGGAATGATCGCCTCATGGTCCTGACAAAGTGTTGTTATTTTTCGGGTCAATCAGAAATACAATTTGGCTGCCATGGCCGCTATTTTGCTACTAAGTTCTAATAGGCCGATCTCACTTAAAATTGGTCTAGGAATGATCAGCTCATGGTCCTGACAAAGTTAAGTTAACATTATACTATTTTTTACTCAAATTGGTACATATTTCAACAACAAAAATAAATACTGTAGACTCAGGTGACCGTTTAGGCCCATGGGCCTCTTGTTATATTGCTCACCAACAGGTGAGCTATGCTGTTCTCCAATAGCTCTTGTTGTTTAATTACAGGTTTCATATGTATAATATACCTCATTTTGATATTTGATACAAAGTTTCTTTAGTTAGTCGTTCATGCTTTTGTTGATGACAGGATCATGAGAATTTTGGAGATGGTAGAGGTTGGAAGATACTATTATAATCCGAAGACACCCTCAGCTGTCCCACAGCACAAGTAAGATACTTTTGACTGTGATATTTCTAAAACCTGTACTAGTATCTAATATCCAGCCACAGTACTCGTTCATCAACTTCTTTAATGTGTGCACAAAATGTGTTGAAACAATAATGATATCTCTTCATGAGAATAAAAACAGATTTAGAGTTTTATTTGATTCTATTCCAGGAACAATTTGATTTAAAATTTTCTTCAAACGATATTGAAAATGATTCAAGTGATATGAATGATCTGTCATTACTAACAGGTTAGAAGTGTGGCCTGGTTACATCACGTCCGTATGTGAAAACGAGGGTGGATTGATGTTATTGGCCGATGCTAGCCATCGAGTCCTCCGTACAGAAACAGTTTTGCAGATGTTGTAAGTATCGGAAATGTTTGCAATTGCACCTGGAAAATGTTATGATATTGCCCGGTATTAATCTTAAATCAATACAGTACATTCCACTTATTATCCCCATCCAACAAAAGGTCGAGGGAATTAACGGTTTGCCCACATGTATGTGAAGCCCTTGATCATCACACTAGATTATTCCATGAAACCTAGTATTTAGTATGACAACACCTTATCAAAAAAATAACTTTTCATGGTTTCTTTGCTGTATATAAGCTTAAGGGTCACAATTAGGGGAAATAAAATGAATCTCAGTGCATTGTATACACCATTTTTAGCTGAAAAGATTATAGCATGTTGTTTGTTGTACATCATTAGCCCACCACCTGGTCCAAATTGCCAGTGAACGTATGCCGTGTTGCAGTGTCTGTCATCTGTCCATCCAAACGTTTTTCCTTTAAAAGACTACTTGTCCACAAAAACAAAGTGAATTTTGACTTCATTGATTCCTGTGATGGAGAAAAGGTGCAAAATAGGGGGAATCTTTAATAATCTATAAGTATAAATAGATCCGGAGGGTATAGTCTCCATGAGGACAAGGTTGGGGTTCTATTGGGAAATAGAAGAAAATCTTTAATTATTTGCTGTAAAATGTCTTTGCCAATAGTGAAAAACATGGAGCTTCCTCGGTTAAAAGAGGAGGGATTTGGGGTAATCTTCAAAATCCTTTTTTAACAGAGAATGTTGTCTTCTTTGGGGTAAAAGCACTGAACCCTATACCTGTAGAAAGAACCGAGGTAAATCTTTATAATACTTTTTTTTCCAAATGGTTGACTCAATGTTGTCCCCATTGCAATATTTGGGATCATTATCTTTCTTTCTGCTTCTAACTACCTTTTATTTCCAAGCGCCTTGCTTGACAACACCTCACTTTTGGCCTTCATGTTGAGCATTCGCCCAGGTGAGGAAGGCAATGGGTTCTGTCCCCAGGCCGTAACATACCAAAGTCTTTAAAAATGGTAGTTATTTCCTGCTTTACGTTCAGCATTTAGGGGTATGGCAACATGTGACTGAGTGGAATGCTGTGATGGGTGCCTTCGGCATGGCATTTAATTGAGATAGCACTGTAAAATCGGCATCAGATCCGCGCTATCACAAGGAGGCAAGAACACCAACATACCCTGTCTCCTGCATACACACACGCAAGCACGCATACACTACACACTTGGAGGCACATCCTGAAATGACCTTAGCTGTTAATAGGACGTTAAACAAAATTAAACCAAACCAAACCCTGAGTGCAGATACCAAAATGGGGAAATGTTTATATATACATTTAATGAGCTTAAACATCCAGGTGAGTGGTTCTAGCCTACATTCTTTTCTATTGTGTATTGTAGAATTTTTGAGTCCAATGAAGAGAATTGTGTGACCCTGTATGTAAAAAATACAAAAACAAAAATCTATACTATATGTACCTGAATCGAGAAAATAATATTTACAAATTATTTTGCAGGCATTCCATACTACAACGAAATCCACAGAGTTTCCATGATGTGTGCAATCGTACCTTGATAGGGACCATTATCCTGACTCGGTACAATAACAAGACTTACAGAGTAGACGACATTCTGTGGGACAAGTCACCACAACACACATTTACCTGTGCCAGCACAGGTGAACCAATGACATTTATAGAGTACTACAAGTAAGTTAGCAGCACGTATCACTTTTACATCAAGTCAAAAAATATTCTATGATAACTGACATTTATTGCATGAAAATAACAAGATATGAATAACACTGCTTATATTTGTATTGATCCTTATCTGAGGATATTCATAGAGTATTTTTGTTACAGGAAAGCTTACAACAAAACAATATCTGATCATGAGCAGCCTCTCCTTCTTCACAGACCTAAGAGGAAAACATTACCAGGGGTGCGTGTTATTTCTAAATTTTTGAACTTTACCAGCATCTTTATCTACATATGACAGTGAAATAACGCTCAGCAGATCTTTCTTGGTTTAATAATGAATAATTAAAAACTGATCAAAAGGTAACTGTTTTATATAGAGTTGAACATTTTGTGCATTATATTAGACTATGGTGTATTTTAAAGACCTTTTATGATGGTCTGGCAATTATTCAATGAAATGTCACCAATTAATTCTGTGATCTATGTTTACTGTAATAACACCAATTGATCATCTGATTCTGCCAGTATTCAGTTAAATAACTTCAATATATCACATGTATATGTTGTGTGTGATTAGAGGTATTAATATGAGGAAATGCTTTATGTACGGAATAGCTGTAGCCCACTGTCTGAATGTTTATTTTGATACATTGCCATAAACACATATTGTTACTTGAATACTTGCTCAGTGAAATATTTACTGGCATTGGTAAGTCGTGTATTCATCCAGCATTAAATTTACCTTTCATATGGACTGGTATTACAATATATAACAAACACTGTTCTGATTTTCACTGTAATGATAAATTTGCTCTCATGAGAAACAATTGATAAATATATATACAGGGTCAAGAAGCCAAAACTGAAGCCATCTGTCTCATTCCTGAGCTCTGTTATGGCACAGGACTTACAGATGAACTCCGAAATGACTTCAAAGTGATGAAGGTAATATAATATATAATCTTTTCTATTGTTTATCATAAGATATGAATTTTTCTGAGAGCCACTATAAATTTATGTATGTAACCAGTTCTGATTTGTTGCCAGACATAGGTGGTATGACTTGTTTTTGCTGAAATAATCTTTGATTAATTACTTTTCATCTCAATGCACCCCTCTGTTTAAACTTTTTTACCTGCTTCGTAACTTTTATTTAGTTATCCAATCCTCCTTCAATCATTTGAAGATGCAATCTTTTACATTACAATGTAGCATCAATACGTCCATACTGCGTTCTAAAGATCAGAAACTCAATATCATCTTGCAAACCAATTTACAATTCCATTAATTAAAGATTTTCAAAATATTTCAGAAAATCTAAAAAATGTATTGATTAGACTGTCTGTGTAAGGAACAGGGAAATTCTTTTGCATTTCCTTTTGTTTAAAATGCTCCAGAATTGGCAGATGAAGTACTGATTTAATTGAGGGAAAGTAAAAGCCTGATCCTACACCCCCCTCCCCAATAGGACATGATTTTATCATTGAGTGCTGTGTTTCTGTGGCAACTTCCAGTATTCAATGAAGATGAAACATATCAACTTTTAAAAAAAAAAAGACAAACGTGAACTCTGACATAAAAATATAGTTTGGTAGATTGATTTTATCAACAAAAAAGACAAACGTGAACTCCGACATAAAAATATAGTTTGGTAGATTGATTTTATCAACAAAAAATATGTTGAATCTTAACAACAGATTTGAAGTATTTTATTAAATGATGTCCTCAGAAATAGGTTTACCTTGATTAAATGTTGGCATGTTAAATCTCCTACATTTAAAAGCCTGTCGGAATGCGATCTCTTACATTGGCACCTCTGGAGGTTGGCAACCATTCAACTTAAATACGAGGAAGCAAAATGATGGTATTCTTTATACACCTGAAACTGACATCGTGTTTTAATTCATTTTGTACAGGACATTGCATGTCATACAAGGGTGACTCCAAACCAAAGAAACTTGACAATGAAGAAGTTCATAAACAGTGTAAACGGCAATCCGGAGGCAAAAAAAGAGCTCTCCAACTGGGGGTTGGAGTTGATGTCTGACACACTCAGTGTAAGTTTGTATCTGGAAATGGAGTCATGTAAAACTTCAAAATATCACCCAAGTAATAGAATATAAAGAATATCACTGACTTCAATGTCCCAACAGAATTTTATTGCCTTTGTATATTCAGTATGGTTTATTCTCCTAAATCAAAGATAGTTTTTTAATGCAGCAGCTTTAATATCATTCAGATGGAGGGTAGACAGCTCCAGCCAGAGAAAATTATCTACGGAAACTATACGGGTTCGGCTGGTCCTAACGCTGACTGGGGTCGTGACGCCACCAGGCAACATGTGATCACAGCCGTGCCTCTCAAGAACTGGGTTGTTCTGTACACCAAGCGAGATGGTGTCAAGGCATCCAACTACATAAAACAGATGCTCCAGTGTTGTCCTCAGATGGGGATAGAATGTCAGCCTCCTGTTAGATTTGAGCTGCACGACGACCGAACAGAGACAGTGATAAGAACACTTAGAGAAAACATTAATCCATCTGTAAGATATGTTGTTATCGTAACTTTAGCTTAATATATGCTGTTGAAGAACCACATTCTATTTTAGAGCATATGAATGTAATGGTCTTTCCAATATTACCCTCATCAAGGTTGTACATTTTATTTCCTGTAAGAAATTATGTATTATACATTTACACACACCCTTTGTTAGTGTGTTGATGGGGGTAGTTGTTATAGTAGTCGCTTTGTCAGTGCCTCCAGGTGTGCATCCATCAATAGTAAAAAACTTGTTTGCAAGATATCTCATGAATATCTGAAACATTAAGTAAATTTTTATAGCCCACCATTTGATGATGGTGAGCTATTAAAATCGCCTGTGGTTTGACCTTGAACAATCCCTGTTATCACAATTATTCAAGAAGTACTCAGACGGATCTTTTCAAATTTCATATTAAGGTTCCCCTTGGTGCCTTGTTGTGCATGTTTTATTTTGAGACAGATTAAAAAACAAAATGCCACAAGGCCAGACTATCCTCTTGGATTTTGTGATTTCAAGTTTTATCATTTTCTCGCAAGAAGTTAATGATGAACAATGACCTCACATTGACAAGAGACTGTCAAAGTTTAATCCTGCATTATAGACATTTTGATCGAAAGTTGATGCAAAATATATTTACTGTTGACAAGACTATCAATCCAACAGTAAGAGAAATGAAGGGAAATGAAGGGAAAAGATCCAACTGACGTAGAAGGAAGGAACATCTTATGATGGTGGGGGCAAAGTTCTACACCTGATCAGATTTTGGTAGTCATCGGGCATTATTAAAGTGTCAAAAAGACCAAAGGTCTCCCTTCAGTTTTGAAGAAATAAGTGTGTACATCATATCACACAAAGTCCATCGACACATTTTTAGCTCACCTGGCACGAAGTCCGTCCTCGTCCGTCAACTTTTCCTTTAAACAACTTCTTCTGAAGAACGGACAGGCCTAGAGTCAGTATATTTGGCTGAAAGCTTCGTTGGTAGAAGCCCTACAAAGTTTGAGAACGAAAATGACCTTGACCTGTTTTCAAGGTCACAGGGGTCAAATATGTCAAAAACTTCAAACGACTTCTTCTAAAGAACTAAAAGGTATAGAATCTTCATATTTGGCTGATGGCTTCCTGGGATAGAGCCCAACAAAGTTTGAGAATGAAAATGACCTTGACCT